TCACCTTAAGTAAGTATTTTTTAGTGAACAGGAAAAGCTGATGCCATGCTTAAAATTCTTCACTGTTTATATACTCTTTATTTTGTCAGCAATCTTGCATGTATGCACAACTAGAATGCTGCTCTCTTTTCGCAGAGAATTGAATGCTGGTGGAGTCAGTTAAGACGTCATTGGACTAGTTTTTGGATAGATTTTTTTCAGGTATAATCAAGCAGTTCCATTAACATAAACAAGGAGAGGTTCACAGTACAAAAATACAGTAAAATTTTTAATATGAGAAATTAATGCATGATTACTAGCGTATAACAATTTGTAACAGCGTTCAGTTGTACAAATCATGCATATGCGTAATCTGTACTTAGCATCAGGTTTGATTTTTGTATATTAATTGCAGGAGCTCGAGTCCACAGGGAACTGGGAAAACGGCAACATTACACACAGGTTCGATATTTAACTTTTAATGATTGGTGCATGCATAGAAATTTAAATAACGCACTCAAAATGGCTTGGGCGCGAAAATTTAAAAGCTTTTATCTTGTTTAAAGTTAATGATGGAAAATTTAATTGGGTTCTTAATTACTGCACAAAATGTCAGACAATTTGTTTAGTTTAAGCCCTTCGACTATTTATTTTTTGCTAAAAAATATCCTTTTGCATGCTTATAATTATATATGCCTTTACCTAATGTGCGTATTGTTGCAATATGCAAATTAGGCAAAGGCATTGATTAAGCATTAATTATAATTTTTTAGGCAAAAAATGTAAGTTTCCGTGAACGGTTAAACGGCTTACTGAAGCAAACTGTCTGAAATTTAGTGCAACAATTAAACACCCAGCAAATTTTTCACACATTAACTCAAAATACGATTAGAGTTTTTAAATCTTGTGCGCAAGCCATTTTTAGTTTGTTGGAACCTAGCTCCTCCCCCCACACCGGTTTACAACATTTCAGTTCTATAAATTAGTTATCATTATTCTACATTATGTGTACCCAAATAAACCATCGGCCGTATTTATATTAGAAGACGTCTTAAACGTCTTGTGTTAAGCTAGTGCGACTAATATAAATACGAGATGAACAGTTGGAAACCAGTAAAGAATCAGTGAAACCAAGAAAATATAAAGTGTTTTAATTTGACAACCTTTAGTCGTCTCGTATTTTAATACACTAGGCGAATTATACGTCTAAGACGACGTTAATTTTTTATTCGTCTATCTAATTTACCGTATTTATATTAGAAAACTTTAACGTTACCGTACCCTGGATTTCGGATCCAGAGTAAGAGATTATTTTAATAAGAATAATAGAATAGAAGAATAAGGATTCGACAGCAAATAATAAATTGAAACGTCGCGAAGGCTCTGGTTCAACGTAATGGGGAGGAGATTCTTTGATTAAACCGCGCCAATCACAAAATAGAATTCGTGGTTTTAGTATAGAATATGGTAGAAAACCCGGGTAGCGGATAACCGGATAATCGGATAACCGGATAGTATATAGAGATTTTTTCATGGGAAATACTTACGTGTGGTATTTACGCACGCGTTAATTTGTTTTCGCAAATTAAACGAACGAGCGAGTGCAAAATTTGTTTACTTCATAGACAATACAGAGTTTATTTATATTACACAGCGAAAAATATAAAGGTTTATATGTTTCATAAAGCGAGACAATCAGATAAACAAAGTCGTGTCGTACAAAAATACATCGGAAAATACAAATCAAAAACAACTCCCATATAAGGAACCAACTTCCATATATGGAGTTGTTTACGCCGAAAAAAATTAGAACACGAAGGGCCAGCCCTTCATGTATAAAGTTTCATGTAAACGCGTGGTGAAATTCATCTCGGGGAAGCGAGCCAGCTCGGGTACCCGGGCATTTCTCAGAGAAAACGACAATATTTGTTAGTTATATTTATGTGTGCATACAATATTTTGTATATATTATCCGCTTAGACTTTAACTATGTGATAATTTATATTATATTTTAGATGTAATTTTTATTAAACTTTGTAAATATCAGTTAGTTTAAACGGCCTCTTGAAAAACGGATCATAGGTGTTCTGAAGAGCTACCGTTTTAAAATAATAATAATAAATTGATATTTCCTTTCCTGTTCATTAATACTGAAAAATTTGTATTTTCCGATGTATTTTTGTACGACACGACTTTGTTTATCTGATTGTCTCGCTTTATGAAACATATATAAACCTTTATATTTTTCGCTGTGTAATATAAATAAACTCTACATCGTCTATGAAGTAAACAAATTTTGCACTCGCTCGTTCGTTTAATTTGCGAAAACAAATTAACGCGTGCGTAAATACCACACGTAAGTATTTCCCATGAAAAAATCTCTATATACTATCCGGTTATCCGGTTACCCGGTTATCCGATTATCCGGTTACCCGGTTATTCGGTTAACCGGTTATCCGCTACCCGGGTTTTCTACCATGTCTAGAATCTGTACTAAAACCACGACTGATTTTGCGTGTTTTGTGATGAACAAGAGCCTTCGCCGCAACGTTTCAATTTATTATTTACTGTTGAAGGCCCTTGAATTCAACGTCTGAGACTGTTAAGTCGTCTGAGACGTTAAAGCCGTCTTCTAATATAAATATACGGCCATTAATATAAAAAAAAAACGGGATACTAATAGCTGTTTTGTGAAACAGTTGAGACTTGAGAGCAATATAGTCAAATCTGTTCAGATTTTTTATATACCCTGTATATGAGATATAACTTCATATATTTAATGCATTTAATATTGATATATTTCACTAAATATCATATGGTAAAAACCAAAATAAAACCCACTGATATTTCATTTTATTTAATCAACCGCTTTTAATTGCGTCAGTATACATAATCATATTGTAACTAAAACATCTCTGCTGCATGATTAATTTATATTATACAAATTTAAATAACTACAACATAACATGGCATAACATGATATGAAAAAAATATTAACAACAATTGTATATATCAACCGTTTACTGCGTAACCCTGCTGAAACCTTGTGCAGATACGGGATTTATCTTCGGGTGCTGCATGCCTAGTGCTCGTCGAGCAAATGGGGCTATAAGAGCAAGGGCAGGCGGCATGAAGATACAACTCGTTTCTGCAATCGGTTATGTTATATGGTGTTTGTTGTATGGAAATTAAAAAAATATATTGCGAAAGTATTATCTTAATCACATGATAGCATGCATGCAATTAATCCTTATCACTTATAAAGCTAAAATGACAAATTAAAGTTAAAGTTACCTGATTATATGCATGCAGGTAACTGTCTCTATATATTTGTGATGGCTGTACTAGATATATGGTCTTCTTCTATGCAGTGTATTAATTTAAATTTTTTTTTCTTATTATATTTTAAGAGGATGCCTTTACTACGTATTCATGCCAATTTTGAAGGAAGAACTTACAGAGTTCATGCAAGAATACAATGCCTATAATGTCCGCAAGCAAAAGGATCGGCTGTGTCCACCAGGAATTCCAGAAGACAATTTCCGTTTTCCTGAACGCTTAGGTGAGGGTTTCGATGGGTATATCGTAGGTCATGATTGCTCAATTCAAATTATAATAACGCCAATTCTGTACTTATAGATCTTATTATTAAATTATTGTATATAGGGTTTTCACAGCAAGGTTTTCCCTTAACAGAAGAAGACAAACTACCCCTAGTAGAAAGGCATGACCTACAGCGTACAATCCCTGACTATATATCAACTGAGTTTCGCCAGATTCTGGACGAGGAAGTGCAGAGATGTATGGTTTCAATCCACTCGTTAAGTGTTACAGAAAGCAAATATATGTATATTCACTTGATAAATTTCTGCAGGCAATCAGGTACTGTTTGCAGACAATCATACAATCTGTTATTATTATAACCTGTTCAAAAACGTTATAACGTTAAAAAATAACGCTGTTATTTATTTAGGTTACACCTTCAGAAATTGATGGTATCGTCGTTTGAAGAAGAGTGGCATACAAAACAATCTAACTAAAACTTTTCTCTATCAACCAGTTTATCCAAACGTGTTACGAGTTCAACCATGCATAATCGTTGTTTTGGTTCCATGAAGCAGCCATCGACAAGTTCTTTTACCATAGATGATCAGTGTATGGATACTCGTTTGAAATTATTTTTGCCACAAGCTGACCAGGATTGGATATATCGTTCCACACGCGTTTAGATGTATACAACTCTAGAATTATACAACCCATTGCGTAAACATCCATGTAAGGTTCCGCCCTCTTACCCAAAATTGATTCTTTGTGCTGGTACATCATTGTTCCTGCGTTAGCAGTATTCCTTGTTATTGCCGTGGCGGTAAATGAGCTTACACCAAAGTCGCAAATAACAGTATGGTATGTCCTCTTTTCAACCTCAAAGTAGAACATGTATTATAATGTTAATTAAATTAACTGCATTATGTTTTGCGAAAGTCGGCTGAGAAAACAACTATTCATCTATCAACCAAAAACTTTTTGTGTTCTTTATGTACCAATAAAGCATCTTACACAATGCAATTTGTCAGGCCGATTTTAAATTTTGCCGAATAATATAGGTCATTATATGTCGTCACATCATGACGCGGCGGACGCTTGCCACATATTTTCCAAAAATCATTAAAATGTATATCAAGTCGACCTAACAAATTGCAGCGAGTGGGTAAACATTTTTTACTTACTAGAATATTTGCTGGTTTCAAGTCTTGGTGAACTATGTTTTCTTCATGAAGATAGTGACAGCCGCTGGCCACTTGATGCATGATATACGGTTTAACGTCAAGTAAAATCTGAAAATATATGATTGTATGCACATATTTATGAAGATCTCAGGACAGATATTATACCATATTTGTTAATTTTTTAAATTATATTTCTCGTACTTTATATTTCCTAGCTTTCAATAGACTATATCGTGTAATCTTTTGATACATTCACATGCAATGTCTTAAGTAATGTAATCCTGCTATTATTACCTGGAAGGGGGGAGGTGTGGAAAATACGAGTTTCTCCAAATTTGAGCCTTTAATGTAAGGGGATAACAGCCAAAGATCGTCGTTATTCCTGCAGTATCCCATCGGAAGTAACAAATTCGGGTGGCGTATTTTCCTATTGATGATAAGAAACGTATCTATATGAGAATAACAGTAAAAAACGTGCATGTGGATCGAAAGCAAGTATAACTTTTTAACCAGACACAACATTAGAGTGCGGCGCCCTAGAGCATGCGCTGAGAAAAAGCGCGAATACATGCTATTTTTGAGTAAATACCAGACTAGAACACAAGTCACGCATGCAGCAAAAATCAAGCGATGTCATCAATTGACTGCCACACTAATTAGTTCTACCAAGTTATTTGGTTAAACTACGTGCACTCGTTGATTTAATGTAATATATAAGATAATAAGGGTCATCAGACTAACAGTCCTCGATTAAAAATAAATTATATGCAAAATCTAGTATTAATTCACACCTGCAAATTTGGAGCTCTTTAATATCTTCCCAAGAATTTTGCTTTTCTGGTGGAAGGGTTATCGTCTTTATTGCAATTTCTGTACCCCTCCACTCCCCTTTGTATACAGTACCAAACTGGCCCTGTCCAACTACTTCACCTTTCTTTATCGTGGATGGGTCGACTGAGTAAACTGTTAAAATAAGTGATTAGGAACAAATTAAGACAAAATTAAATATAAAAAATAAAAAGGCAGTATAGAAGTATAATAATAACAAGACGTTGGGTTCCTGAAAATAATAGGGAGCTTTAGCAGCGACTACGAGTACGAGTACGAGATTTGATCGTGTGCGAGGAAATCACCGTAGTCGTTCTTGTTTCCGTTCACATGTTGCTTTTACAGTAGTAGACAAACAACGAGAGAAAAAGTTTCATAAACTACGCGATGGGAGGGCAATGTGCTGCATGGACTGAACTCGCGCAATTCCTTTTCGTCAGTAACATTTGTCACACTGCGGTCTAATTGGCAAAGTGAACAGAAAGTTTCTTCAAGTGTTATATAACAAACATAAACAACCGGTACATAATGAACAACCATCCTCCTCATTATCATCATAATCGATAATTATTATCACTATTAATAAAACTGATTATTATTGGAATTGGTAATGTCGCATTCCCACATATACAAACATATATTAATACCATCTTTTTCTTGACTGCTTGCATCCGACTGTAGCAAGGCCAACGGGTCAATGGGATTGTCCTCTTCTTTCGCCGCAATATTACTTCTTTCTTCAACGACTTCAATAACTTGCGATTTAGCAACATGGTCGTTCACAGTTACAACACATTGGTATTGACCAGGCTGATTTACGTAAACCAGGTTCGCTTTCCTTCCCGTTTTCAACATTATCCCATTCACGGACCATGAATAGTCTACTTCCATCGTGCAATGATAATATGATATGCACCCAATAATAATACATTCGTCTTCATCAATGCAGACAGTTTCAGTTGGTCCATGTGCGATTACACCATTTTCTGTAGTAAATTAAATCAGGTTTTTAGACAAGTGCATGTCATTGAATTCACAGTTATTACTTGTTTCAGTTTTTAAACTCGCATAAAATGCGCCATATTGTTTTCCCCATGACTGCAACAGAAAACGAGATGCTATCCAGCTATACTATAGATAGCCAGACGTTGTCCTCAGTTCGTATAATATAATAAAAACTTGTTATATAGACGTACGCAGTACATGTGTATGTGCTGTTGTGCAATTTGATTGGCTGAGATAATAGCCAAATGTCATATAAGGTGCACGAGTATGGGAGTTTTGCGTACGAGAAAGAAGCAACTTTTGATCAGGGCCGGAAGGAATGGGGGGGGAGAGAAAGGGGGATGGTAAAGGGACACAATTTCCCCAGAAGGGGCCTCGGAATGCTGGAAGTGCGGAACGTGTTAAATATTAAGGAGTATTGTGAAAACTTGAGGCCAAAAAAGATCAGAAGAAATTTTTGAACACCACATTATCTTAGAAAAAAAGTTGGAGACGTTTATTTTTGGGCCCAAACTTTTGATTTCATCCCCCCCCCACCCCCATCAGACATAGGTAGTTGTCCCTGAACTTTCCTCCTTTTTACGGCACTAATATATTTATTTCAAATACTCTATATTTATAATAATTTATAAACCTTGTGGCAAATCATGCCAGACATAATATGTCACGTGTAGTGCCGTCGCGAGTAGCTCGCTTCAAGGGGGGTTTTACCTGAAATTATTTTTTTCTAGAAAATTATTTTCGGCGACCTCCCCCCCGTCGCCAAAAAAATTTCGGTCAGTGTAACATTTTAAGGGTAAAAAAAATTTTCCGGACATATCCAATTTTTCGCGACATATAAATTTTTTCGGATATCACCAATTTTCTCCGTTTATCAAAGAAATTTTTCTAAAATTCTGAAAAGTTCTTGGATTTTCTAAAATTTTTTAAAATATACCTTATTTTTTTCCAAACTGACGGGTAATTTTGTAAATTAACTTTCTCTGGTCCTAGGAATTACCTGAATTTGCGTTAATTTACCTGAATTTATTCTGCAAATCTACCTGAATTTACCTGAAATTGCTCATATGAACAATCACATCAGGGGGTGTTACACCCCCACGGTCGCTACGGCCCTGGTCACGTGGAGTGCCATAATATGTAACGTGGAGTGATTTTTTATATAACCGCTCATCCTAATTAGTATGATTATATAATTGTTCATCCTAATTAGTATTTAAAGCTATTCAAGACACTAGCTCGCTGGGCGTGTTTTATAGGACATAAAACGCTCGGCTGCGCCTTGCGTTTTATAAATTTATATACAGGGTGTCTCAAAAAAACCGCTACCCTTGGAAATTCACAATTGTTCTAATTTGAATGCCTGAGTGCTATCTTGAACTCATAGGTGCATATTTGAATGGAATTTTATGCTTCTCATTTAAGACAATAAATACTCTTTGCTCTGTGCTCAGTCGAGCCATTTCCTTGACATTCACTAATATATAATTGAACGATTTTCGTGCAGTTATACTTTTGTATGAACCTATTTTCAATTCCCAGGATAACAAATTTCGCTTTTCAAGGATATTTTAATTCCGAAGATCTTTAATATATGCATCCTGTGAAAATATTTGCGCATTCATGGCTTCAACAAGGTTCAGGCATTCAAATTAGAACAATGGTGAATTTCTAAGGGTAGCGTTTTTTTTGTGACACCCTGTACATATGATAAAGCACTCCTACTCGTGTTTTACATATAGTATACTTAAAGGTTAGCAAATAGATTTATAATCTCCTTTTTAAGCATTTACAGTCAAAAGGTCTCTTTTAACGAATACCATGACTATGAGGGTTGACCGATTGCAAAGTTTTGTAGTTCACCACAGGTTCATGAGCTACTTCGAAAAAATGTAGTCAACTATAAAACTACTGCAACTTGACAACAAATGTAGTTAGCTATACTAAAAATTGTAGTAAAATATTCGATAGAACCAAAATATCCTGCTGTCCACAATTGCAATTTAAATTTATATCATATGCTGTTCTAATGTGTAATTCGAATGGCAAGAAATCTAAAGCCGATGATAAACATAGATTAGACCTAAAGAGACAAACACCGTATATATACGTATGTAGAACTAGGCTTAAGGAATTCTTATCAAACACTGAGGTTCTTGGCGGTGGACTAATACGACAAACCACTTGCACGATCTGGTAAGATTTTGTAATATTCTGTTTACGCTGTCGATTGATGATCTACTGTGTATAGATATTATTATTATACTGTACGTTGTTTACGCTGTCGATTGCTGTTTATGCATACAATATTCTGTTTATTCGCTGTCGATTGATGAGAAATTTTCAAAGTAGCGGGTAGCGGTTGTTCATGTATAACAACATGATAAATTCGAAATCGGTATAGTAGCTACTAACCGTTCATTTCAGGTGTTGCTCTGCACACTTTAATATCAAACGCCTTTTCATGCGAATCTCTGTCTCGCTCAATGAATGACTTTTCTTCGTTGTCTTGAACTATATTATAAAGGCGGTAAATACGCGTTATTACTAATCGTTCCGCTATAAAATTGTTTTTTCACTCTATTCTGATATTTATGTTGTATATTATACAATTGTATATTAATGTCACTAAACACACGTACCTGTACTAAAACCAGTAAGTTCCCATCCCCATTCCACGGGAACAACTAAATAATTGTCAACACCAAATTCCTTATCTATTTCATCCAATCGTTCATTTTGAAAGCAACATCTTCTGGAGGCGCACGCCAATGTGCTCTTCTCCGCAGAATACTTGGATTCCGCACAACGTTCGAACAGAAGTTTCGCCAAACCTAAATAAGAAGGCAAGAAAAAACTTCGTATATATATATATATAAATGGGGATTGGCCGAAGATGGTTCTTTGATGAATATATTTCATGCGGCAAATTTTTTATGCCTGCATAATGTATAGCAATAGATATGCAGCAGCTTAACGCTTTAGTTTTAGTGACAGTTAAAACCTCTATGCCAAATTCATGTAAAGAGACTATAAGGAAACGGCAGATTAATTAGTCATGGATGGTTGTAACGCTTTTCACGCGGGCTATGCTGTCACCAATGATCAATATATATTGGTGCGTTTACATGCATTTAGTTTTCAAGATTTAAGTTACGTTTAAGTTTCGCATTAATTAAAGTACTTGTTATACTTTTAGTTTCACATTAAAATATTTGTTCTAGCTAGCTACATATATATATATATATATATATATTATTCCTTTACTTACCATGAAGGTAACCCAACCTTTATCATCGAAGCCTTTGACAGCTCTCTATATCATGCCTAATTTTATACATAGCTAAATCTTAAATATGCATTAGTTCATGCGTTATATATAATTCATCAAAATATATCAAATTGTTAAAAAATAATATTTAAAGCTAAAAAATATACAGGTTTAAAGGTAATCGGTTCACAACCTCGTTCCCAGGGCCATCCAAATGTTCGACGTCTCTGCGGAATTTCGTCATCACACGTTAGTTGAGATTTTCCATCAATGATGGCAATATCATAATCCTGCATAACATCCTCAATGTCTCCCACAATTTCTAGAAATGCTTTGCAGCATCCCTCTTGTAGAACTTGAAGTGTAATAGGATTATCCACAACAACCTGAAACCGGCACAATTAACCATCGTTTGTGTATGGCACAAATTGCAGATCATACACAAAACTAACTGCAAGTATTTCTAATAAATGTGGACGAATTTAACTAAATTTTGGCACAAGAATGACTTTAAAAAACATTGTATGGCAAAAAGAGCCTGTGGAAAATACCTGCATTCTGCAAACAGTTTTAAGAAGTAATCTCGGCGGGATGCAGCGAAACGTGACTATGTAAGTTTGTAATACAATTTATAAAGATTTTCTTAGTCTAAAATATGTTGTTCGAGTTTGAATCTTGATTCGTGTGTTCTCGTTTAAAGGTGATCTACAGTCCGTATGTAAACAAAGCCTTTGTTTACATTTTTGTGTCGAAAATATTGAGCTTTATTCGACAACTATTTATATTTTCAAGCTTCTAGAGTATAATAAATGATCAAGAAACAACAATTAGGCTTTTCAAGAACTCAAAACATAGTTAAACTGTTTGTATCATAAAAAGTGGGCTCATTTGTGCACATGCGCAGATCGGACTGTAGATCACCTTTAAGTTGTATAGTCATTCACCGTATATGAGATGTTCTGCAATCTGTTTGGTTGGATTACTCGCCGTATATCAGCTTATATATGGCGAGTAGCAAAAAACAAGATGGCGGTCCAAAAACTACATGAGTTTTGCGAAGCAGAAAAAAGTAAATATTCGCTTTGAGAAAGATAATAGTACATCAAAAAACTCTCAGAAATATTTGACAGGTTAGCAAAATACATTTATTACATAGAAATTAGTTTAAATACAAGTTTTTTTAAAGAATTAACACCGAAACAACAGCGAAAAAAAAACATGTTTATTGTCATTGAGAATATAAATTGTTCAGAAAAGTTTGCAACGAAAGACAAATGAATTTGCAGTCAAGAAGCATTTACTATACAACCAAACATCTGTATAATATATCTGAGCTTTTCTGTGAGATATACCGGTTCTAAAACAATTTCTTTCACTTTCATTTCGTCTTCGAGTTGTAAAACAAAAGTATTTTTCAAATTTTTAAGGCCAAGCAGTTTTTGGCCGAACAAATTGTCAAGACATTGTAACAGAGGATAATTAATTATTGCTATAGTTAATGGCTATTAGACTATATTATAAAACAATTATACCATTCGCTCTCGTCGTATGACTCTCATATATGGTATAATTGTAATATATATACAGATATATATAGTTATAAACCTTTTTATAAGCACCAATTGCTCTATATGTTATTCTTCCACTGCTGCGAAAATGCTTTTTTTCCATCTTTATTACATCAACTACCCTTTTTCCAGGCTTTTTACGTCCCTAACAACGCAATTATTCATTAGTACCCATTAAATGAATCTCTAAAAAATGAATCAAAACTTCCACGAGCAAGACTGAATCAAAATTTTAAGTAGCAGTATAATATGAACATTTCATTTGTAAAACTGATTTCAAATTGTGCAGATATACAAAAGTATTATATTAATTGTATATTAGTGCATGCATGTAAATCTAAAATATAGGGCCTAACTATATAATTGGAGAAAACAAAGAATGCAAAACTTTGATGCAAACTTCAAGAAAATTTTTATCGGCAAATGAATCCAATCTCTTTCGCACATAATTCATATGCATACGTACAACTTAATATATGTATATTCATTTGCATTTTGGCTAGGCTTCAAGGTTGATATTAGTTATTATGTAGTTTGGAAACCAATCATTCCATATTGATGAATCAAGACGGATTTATATACATGCATGATTGTTGATATCAATCAAAATGAAACATACAACATGTTGTCTTTCTGAACTGTCTGTTCCCTTGCGTTTCTTTGCCACCTCATGCTTTACATCATCCCATCCATATCCTACAAATTAAATTATTCAAAACATATTTATAATTTTTTAATGTATTTTATTATCTGCATTAAATAGTCATGTTGAGCGGTAAATTATATCTTACGCATTGATGTACGTGCGAATGTGTGCATTTGACGTTTATGCATGGTGTTTATTAAAGGCTGCGATTATTTCATCAATTGCACTCTCCGCGTGCAAGAGTGCAATTAATGATTTTTGTGATGGCACATGTTTTTCTCCAAATATCACTCGTAGTGTTAATCATTAATTGCACTCCTTCCCAAATAATTACCTGTAGCTATATACTTATATAACTTATTTCACCAAAAATATGCCGGTGAAATATAATAGAGAAATTTACTGATGCACTGGTATTGACTTGATTGGTAAATTATTTATAAAGCTGAAATATTATACATGCATGCAGATACACATCTGTGTAATGCAATACAAATATATATAGAATGCATGAGATTGAATGACCGCTATCAATAATGCATGTCTATCCCATTTGTGGTGGCAAAACGTTGCAAGTTTTGAATGGTAAAATGTTAATCAATTTGGTTTAATTGGACTCTTCCAGTGGACAAGAAAAAAGAAGCTGCTGAAACCGAAAATCGAAACTTATATAATTATGAATTTATGATGTTGTTTATAAACCAAAACATTTAAACACTTAATCGCAACGTCACCGTTGGCATTTTTTATTTGTTTCTACCAAATATGCATGGTGAAGCACTATTTTATCTTCAATATTTGTTAAATTGTGTGAGTTGATTTGATTTGATTTAGGTAAAGTGACTTTTTTACTAACATGTAAAACTAAGTATTGAAGAAGTGCATGCATGGTATATCGGGTAAAACAATAACCAGTTAAATCGCATGGACTGAATAAATATTCCCTATAAATCCCTACATGCCCATTTATTGCCAGCTTTTTTTGCAGAACTACATGTATGTAATATGATTTTTCTGTGTTGGTGTTGTGTACTCATGTGAATATGATGTTTGTGCATGATGCTACTCTGGGTGTGCATCCACACCGGGCAAGCTTGAAAAATATGACTGGCCACGGTGGGAATCGAACCTACGACATTTGGAATACTAGCCCACTGATGCTCTGCCAACTGAGCTATATACGCGGTCAGGTCAACTAAGCTACGCGGTCCAACGCGTGACCAGGAATATTTTTTCAAGCTTGCCTGGTGTTGATACACACCCAGAGTATCATCACAAACATTATTCACATGTGTTTTCAATAACAAACTCAATCTTTCCACCAGAAGAGTAAAAAAGCTCAAAATAAAGCTCCCGGTATCCATTTGCTTTAAACGTTTGCAAAAATTCTTTCAAAAGGTGGACTTTTAAAAATATGTTAAATATTTTCTTCATTACCTACACGTTTCTTATTGTAGTTCAGCATTTGTAACTCGGTAATTTGGCTGGAAGCTATAACGCACAACGGCATGCTAACAAAATACGGTATCTGCATTTGCATATGTGAAAATGGACGATCCGCATGATTTTGCTATATAAATTACGCACACAAAAGTTACCTGCAACACAGACATTTCTTGCAACGCTTTGATGCGACGTCGACGCAGATGATCGTGAATGATGTTTTTCACTTCCATGTCCACAATGAAAGCACTCATCCAACTCGGACACCATTCGGTATCCAATACATTGGCAACCACTGACAATGCAATTAGGTAACAACTCCTATACAGGATAATTTAACTTTAAGATGAGAATGTTTGGGTGTTATGCAACACGCTCTCAAATTAATGCACACTCGGTTTGAATACATTAAAAATTCTTAATTTCCGATACGTCATTTTTTAAACAGACAATGATACAAATTATTCACTCCTCCGCCTAGCTAGTTTTCGGTATGTTGTATAATACAGTCTGTGAAAGTTCGCGCCTTTCCGAGCCCCAACAGCGCTAACATATATACAAACCATCTATTTGAAATAAAATATCAACTCTCTTTGCTTTTTAAAAAGTCATTGTAAAATTGAAAACTACGAGATTTCTCCAAAATTTCGTACTCATATGGGCAACATAGAGGATGGGAGAGTTACAATTTTTCCTGTTAGTACGAGATGCCATGTGTTTTTTAAATGCTCATTTACTTAATTCCATAGCTTGCAAAACGCTAACAATAATAAAATTTGTAATAATAAACAATGTAGTTTATCGTAAAGAATTGTGGCTTTTCATTTTTTTTTAATAGAAAACTGAAAGTTTGAACATTTAACTACTATATAATTGTCTCGTGGTCGAAAAAGGTTGAAGAGATTTGGTTTCACTGCATGAACCATTGAACCAACATGGTAATGGAATTACCCATATAACAACTGTCTGATGTAATAGTGTTTGTAATATAGAATACAGTCCGTCCATATATTATACAAAATCAAAAAAAGTACGAAAGCACTACAAGTCGTGAAATTATACTATTTTAATACTAATGATAATAGGGCCATTTATACGGAACAAAATAAGTCGCGACTTACATAAGACGCGACTTAAATAAGCGGAGTTATCGCATAAATGGTTCTCTACGGCTTTGGTCTTATTTATTTGCTATAGCTATCATGTTGTTTTGGTTGTTTTTGTTTTAATATGCAAGGCTAATAATTTTACGTTGTTTCAAGTTTCTGGCATGTTTAGTCACACTTTTTGCCCAAAATTACTTATTTAAGACGCGACTTAAATAAGAACAGCTAAAAGACCTGTTCTTATGTAAGACGCGTCTTATCCAAGACGCGTCTTACATAAGAATTTTGTACCTTTTATACGACAAACTCGCGTCTTACTTAAGTCGCGTCTTATGTAAGTCGCGTCTTATTTTGTTCCGTATAAATGGCCCTAATATCTGCAAAATTAATTATTCATTCTGAAGGTTAAATGTAATTATTAATATTTTCGAAACTGACAGGGGAATAAAATATCAACTTCCTCGGCATGAAATTTTAGGCCAAAAAAAGTATGTGGGTTTCCTATTTCTTCTTGTAAAAACTTAGGTAGGGTAGGTCGGTTTTAACTTCTTTTTTTTTAAACTCATTCTATTTTCTTAACAACCGGACGTCATTTTGTTTAGTCGCCAAGTCGGTGCTTCCACATTCTGAGATAAATTTCCTTAATATTGCCCCAAATTTCAATTTTTCACAAACGTTTTTCTCTAAGTGGAAACACTTACAAGCATGATCCAATAAAAAAGTTTAGGGTTGGGTGATTTCGGCATCCAAAAGCTAGGTTAAGGTAGGGTCGGGAAATCGGAAACCCACATATTTTTTTTGGCCTTATACAGTATACTTGTACTACTTACCTCCTCCGCAGCCGGCCTTTTGAACTGATGAGGCAAAATACTTCGTCTCATATTCCAAATTTTAACCTGGAAACGGACATACTCTTTACGGGCCGTATGGCCTGCCGAGGAGGTAGTGCATGCACATGCCCCTCGCATAGGACTGATTACATAATATACCAGTTAATCAGTTCACAGATATTTGCATGTTGATTTATAAACCTAGCACATTTATTTAAAGACACATGTCTCTCAAGTTGTCATTATGGCTATATACAAGCATTGACCATCCTCTGCCAGACCAAACCGAAACGAGGCGCCTTTTAAGTCTGGCTCACTTTGGCGTAGAATTTTAGTAAAACTGAATATATTTATTAGTTGTATTCTATAAATATATTCTAAATGTAGTCGGTTTTATGTCGCAGGCAAGCCTGGCCAGGGCCGAAAGTTAATATATATGTTGTGTGAATGGCTGAAAAGAGAAAATCCAACCAACTTTTTCCAACATTGATCATGGGCCATGGCCGGGGCAGAGCCAACATATTTTCAGAAATGGCCAAAAATGTGAAAAGTCTCATTATTTTTGCACGCGATTGCATGGCTTGGTCAGGCCAAGTCTTGGAAGTATATTACTAGCTGTAAACACGACTTGAAACTCATTAACTATCGAATTGAAGTAATAAGTGAGTAATTAAAAAACAAAGCTAGTCATCAGATATCAGCCTGTGGAGTGATTAGGGACCGGTCATTAATTACAGGGGAGGGGGGAGCTGGTGGAAATGAAAAATTAGATCTAGATGCTAAAATTTTGTTGGCCACCTCTTGAGGATAACACAATTATACTTGACCCCCTCACATGCAAATAACAAAAGGCACATTCGTATATATTTAAAGTTCTTATCAAGTGAAGCCACAGCATTTTAAAAGTGGGGGGGGGGGAAATTTTCGAGCGGCAACGGCGCGAGACACTTCTAGGGGGTCCGGGGCATGCCGCCCGGAAAATGTTTGAAATCTAGAGTCCCTGAAATACGATTTCCTGCATTTTCAGGGTAAGATTATACAGAATTCCGAAGATTATGAAGTAAACAAGTCACACGACTTTTTCATGATTATATACGTATATAAAAAACCTGCAAATATAGTAGTACATCATAGTCAGTGTTGTAAAAGTTACTCATTTTTTGGAACTAGTTACAGTTACAGTTACAGTTACATTCCCAGAAAAGGAACTAGTTACTGGTAAAAGTTACACTTAAAAAAATGTAGCTAGTTGCCGTTACAAAATTACTTCAATATTTTTGTAACTAGTTACAAGTTACTTAGAAATTTTGTAACTTTATCAAGTAAGAAAAAACCAAGTTTTACGCGCCAGTGATTAGTGGTCAGCAGATTGATGTTAATTATTTGTAAACGTTATGTAACCTTACGACTAATGGATCTCTCAGCTGTGTGAAGCACTGAAGCATGCGTTGTCGTAGAAAGCCGTGAGGAGAATTTCGAGAACTGAGAGGTGAATTGTAAGTTTTAACCGCAAGAATGTAACGAAAAAAGTAACGTAAACGTTGCCGCTATTAAAGTAACGCGTTATCGTTTCATTTTAGGCCAAAGTGTAACTCGTTACAGTTACAGTTACCTTATTTCTAAAGTACAGTTACTCAAAGAGTAACGATTACTTGTAATTTTGTTACTTGTAACAAAGTTACTTACAACACTGATCATAGTGAATAGAAAAAGGTTAGAGAACTCGATGCAAACATAATAGACCTCCTTATCTATGTTTTTGTGTCTGGCCGTTTATGCAAGGAACGAACGGTTCATCGTCATGTGTGAATTGTTTTTTCACCAATGGCAGTGTGCTGTTTAATTACCTAGTCGTAATATTACACAATGGCTAAACAAAAACAGAATAACTATTGGTTACTCTAGCGAAAATACAATACACACGTGACGATGAACCGACAATTTTTTTGCATAAACCAAGAAAAAACATAAATGAGGCTATTATGCCTGCATCGAGTTTCCTAACCTTCTTATTCTATTTACTACGACTTTACATTGATGGACAGCTGCCTAAAGGAATTGCTACTTCCAGGAAAATTGTGAAACACTGGGGAGACGTGTCCCCCCCCCAGTCCTCCCCGTGACGCCGCCAAAGTGATGTTTTGATTATCTATTTTTGGCATAATGGCATGAATTTTTTCAGAATTCGAAGAAAAACGTTTGATGTAATTTGACGTAAATGAAGTCAAAATCTCTGAGAAATTACCAAGCTGTGAGCCCACTGCGAGTTTTTTAATTTTTTAGTAAAATATGTGATGCTGATGGTGGATCAGTGAGAGTTGGCAACTTTGCCCGATATACATGTATCGTAATTTCTATATTCTTTACCATCTATTGAGTCAACAGCTGTTCCAATGTACATGTTTATGTTGAAATCAGTTTAGTAAATGGTGTTGTGTTAAAGTTTACTACAGTTCTACTGCTCTCTATTTTTTATCTGTAGGTTTTATGGTAGGGCGGGGTCATGTGGGGCTGGAGCGAAACTAACCCCTTTTGATTGGGGTGGGGGCTAGAATTGCCCTGCGAAATCGATGATGCCCTGCGGGGGACATTCAAAAAAGGAGCCAACAAAATTTTTCCGGACAAAAACCACTTAAATTAAAGGTCAAAAACAAATTCCTGTTAACACATGCATGAAACCCTTATTTTTTTAACAATATCTGAAATTTAAAATCTTTCATTGCCCTGCCAATCCTAGCCTTATATAGTCTGCGCGCAGGCTATGCCAATCCAGACAATTTGTCCTGCCAATCCAGCTTTGGGGTTGTCACACCCCCCCCCCACCTTAAGTTTCGTCCCTGCTCTCTTCAATTTCTCTTCAATTCTTTTTAATTTCTTAAATTATTTTCGACTAGATTTTCAGTAGTTTTGCCCGACCTTTTCTTAGTTTTTGCCCGACAAGAGTACCGTTTCGAAAGATTGGGGGGAGGGGGGGAGACACCCCCAACCCCCCTGTGGTTATGCCCCTGGGGGCCGGTTGTATAAAAAAGTGATTAAAGTTAACTATGGTTAAGTGCAAACGTCATCCAATAAGAAGCGCCTATTTGAGAGTTAATCACTATTTAACTACAAAATTGTGATTAAAAAAGTGATTAAGAGTTTTATGCAACCGGCCCCAGGTATTTATATTGCACAAAAAATTTTGCCCCTTTTTTTCATGCACAAAATTATCTGACCCGCCCCCCACCCCCCATTTTCCACCAGCCCCCACCTCTCCCCTGTAATGGACCTATTCCATAATGAACAAAATTGTGATCCAGACAACTCAAGACAAAAATTTCCCTAGCTTGAAAGAGCATCATAAAATTAATAATGCTCCGAAGTTTCGTTGTGAAATGTTGTAAAATACGGATAATATAGCCCTCAGAAGTTTGCCGTTTTTCAGTCATTTTGTATTAATACGCACAGGAAATTGATACCATTTTTCAGAAAGCGGTATCAATTTCCCGTTCGTATAAATACAAAATGACTGAAGAACGGCAAACTTCGCAGGGTTATATTATCCGCATTTTACCACATTTTGCAACGAAACTTCGGAATATTACTAATTTTGTGATGCTCTTTCAAGCTGTGATAAAAGTTTTGTCTACACTTGTCTAGGTCAAAATTTTGTTCATTAGCAGGGCTGCCAACTCTCCCGGATTATCCGGGAGTCTCAAGATTTTGGACCTAATCTCCCAGTCTCCAGATTTTGTCTTAATTCTCCCGGATTAGGATAATCACCAACGTCGATTTATGCACTAGCCATTTGATTCTTCGTTGTCAAAGGTTTTAACAATAAAAATTATTTGCGTTGCACATTCGTTTTCCTGGTAAAAATAAAATTCTTTCGTTGCTGCCTGCGTTGCTTTTAATCAGCGGTTGAATGACGCCATTTTCCGTAAACACTTCATCTTACAGGGATTTTTTTACCCGTATTGACGCCATTAAAGATGTCGATATTTTATTAAACTAGTACATAATATTGTGAAACTTGAAATCAACAGTTATTCAGGCAATTTATAGTTAATATTCGACTTTTTGTATGTCCGGAAAAAATTTTTGACCCCTAAATTGGTACACTGACCGAAAAGGGGGGGGGGGGGAGGTCGGCGAAAAAAAAATTCAATATCAATTCTCCAGATTTGAAAACTTCCAGGGTTGGCAGCCCTGCATTAGGTAATAGGTCCATTAATGATCGGCCCTTAGCATAAAAACACAAAATAAATGCACGTGACGCCTAGAAATACTGTGTCTATTTTATACTAATATGATCTATATTCTCCAAGGAACGACTTTCCGGAAAAGCAGACCGGTTCAAATATTAAAGCGGCCTGTTTTGACATTACCTAAATTCCATTTGCGTTTATAATAATAACACCAGTATGTAATAATTATATAGCATGCAGAGTACATATAATCACGACGGTAGCGCGAAGTTGAGTATTGTCCTCCCCGACCCGTTGGAGGACAGCCACCGTAAATATGCATGATACTGCACTTGAAAGCTAATAAAATACCATATGCTTTGCCGCAAAATATTAAACTGTAAACTGAAAACCAAGCAAATAATATATCAATTAAATGAATATATATACTCTTGACGGTCGATCTATAAACCTATAGCTAAATTTAAACTCGAATTAATTTACAACTTACGTGCTCAAAAGCAGGACAACCACAAACACAAGTATGCGAATCTGGCTTTATAGTAATATATTTAACACACTTTGTGCCGTGTTTACGGCATTTGCCGCGCAAATTCCCGGCCAAGTCCATCCAAAATACCGTCTCTTACAACTATGCTCGTCGTCAGGAAGAACGATAAGACACTCCCATTCTATATTTACATTTGAAACTTGTAAACATTTTTCAAAATCAAAAATCAAAAAATCAAAAAATCAAAAAATCAAAAAATCAAAAAATCAAAAAATCAAAAAATCAAAAAATCTAAAAATCAAAAAATCTAAAAATCTAAAAATCTAAAAATCTAAAAATCAAAAAATCTAAAAATCTAAAAATCAAAAAATCAAAAAATCAAAAAATCAAAAAATCAAAAAATCAAAAAATCAAAAAATACAAAAACTGTTTTTGTGCTGTCGCGTCTGGGCCACCGTAGTAACGTGTGTGTAACGTGTCTATAATTAGTACGTAAAAATAGATTGATATTTTGCGCATGTGCGACCAGATTTGCTTGAGCTCATCTCACATAATCCCAAAATTATAGGAGATGGAAGTTTGCAATAAATTCTAGTGCAAGTTTACGATCGGTAAGTCCATATATCAACATAAATAAAATGCTTGAATTGGGTTTAAAATCTAGTGAGTATGTCAATCTTACGTAACAATTCAGCTAAAAGTGGGAAAATCATTGAAATTTTTCCAAAATTGTATACAAGTAGGTCAGAACGATGCGTGTCTGTTATAAAATACTTGAATTTAAAGAAAATATTCTGTTTGAGAAAAAAATATATACTCATGATTGTCAGCCATGGGAAAAGTTAGTCTGAATTTTATTCATTATTTTATAATCTTCTTCCAATGTATATATTCATCAATTAATCGTCCTTTCCTGGCAAAAAATAACTATAGTTCTCAGGATCCCCTATATTCTTTTTGCATGAAGTACTCAGTTCTGGGAAACCGCTGGGAAAAAATATTATATAGCAAAAGGTTCACTAAGGAAGAAATCCAAGTCAGCGTCTTCCCTGGAGCACTAAGTTGAATCAACATGAACGAATTGCGTTTTATTCAAAAGTACAAATAGAGACAATCAGGAGCAAAAATTAGACAACCGCATAAGTGCCCCCCTCACCCCCAATTCAATGTTGTGTGGATGACTGAAAAGAGAAAATTCAACCCACTTTAAAAACCACCTTAAATTATAATGACGTCAAGAAATGGGAATATCGGGATTTTTTAGGGAATCTCGGGATATTTTGGGAGCTTACTTACGATTTTTACAAAATTACAGTTGGCAACGCTGACTCGAAGTCAATTAGCGATTTAAGCATTCGAATTAAGCCCCGACATTTGGTGGATGTAAACAAGTGACGCGTGTATACTCGCAAAAATATTGGCAAATAAGTGAACGTAAAATTTCAGCAATTTTAAGAAATATATTTTACTAACATCTCTTTTGCTTTGCCTACAGTTCTATATACAGACAATGACATCGTGAAATGAGAGAACTCAATAAGGATTTGTAAACAACAGCTCATTCAGGGCGGCAATTACGGCTTTAAAAACAAACTAGAAGTTACTATCGCAAGGAAAGTGCTGCCTCATCCCCAAGAGATCAAATCAGCATATGCAAATTTGCTGAATATCCTTATATGATCCCCGCTTTCGGGACGAGAATTTCGATGTATTGAAATAAGTCATGGTCTACAACATTTGAGTTTTGTTAACCAGCATTTGAATTTTCATTTAGCCTAGTGACTTATTTCAATACATCAAAATCATCCCACCTTCCATCATGTAAACAGTCCCTAAGATGCCAACTAAGATGCCTGTTCAGGAGTGCATTTTGAATACCAAACACCTTGCACAAAGTCGAAGGTCAGCTAAATATTCTAATTCTACTTTCTTGGCATGGGTGATTTTATATGAATATCTTCAATGCTTATAACTTCTTGCTTTTGTATGTACTGGAAAAATTATAATACTGTCAGTGGTGAAGCTAGCCATAGCAACAGGTCATGCTATGCAAGTTTATAATGATTTGCATTGTAGGTTTATTAGCATAGCATGACCAGTTGTCATGGCTAGCTTGCCATTGAATACTGTACAATATCATATATATATAAACAATAATAATACTTGAATGAATCAATAGACATGTAGAATTTAATAACAATTTCATATATAGAAATACTAAGTCAGTCCCCACAAGCAAATATCCTGGGTACGAGGCTGAGTCCGTTTTTGTCCCAATTAATGTCACCTTCAAGGCTACCCCTATCACAGAACAACTGAACAATCTGCTGATGGGGGAGACAAAATCTATTTGTTGACATTTTTGTTTAATACGTCTGCTTCAGATGACACCGTTTATTTGTAATGACTAAACTAAGATTGTACTCTGTCAGAACTGCAAAACTATATAATAAGAAAGAAATTGTGATCATTATCGAAAAATATAGTATACCCTGAAATGTAGTGACACAGGCACACAGCCAGGTGATTATATGAATGTAGGCCGGTAGGATTATTTCATATTTTGCTAACAATGGACATATCAGGGCCGGAACTACTAGGGGGGGGGGTAACACCCACCAAAGAAAAGTCAAGAAAGGGGCCCAACTTCCCCAGAGGGAGCACCGGAATGCTGGAATTGCGGATTCTGAAAAATTGAGGTTGAAAAAAGTCCGAAACATATTTTTAACACAAAGTAATTTTGGAAAAAAAAACATTGACCTCCCCGGTTTTTTGAGGGGGGCCCCGAAAGGAAAGGGGCCCAAATTTTTTAGGTAACCCCCCCCCCAACCAGATATCGCCGCTCGGCACGTCCCTGAATGTGTTTACAGATCATCTTGTACCAAAGTCGATTGACATGTTATTACATGTAACTGCTGGTAAGTTAATAGTGTGCAGACAACAATCCACACTGGGTTAACTGGGTTGCTATAGGAATATTTTTACATTAGAGAGTTTAAGCTTCGCGTTATACGTCAAACGGCAGACGCCAGGCAAAGAAAAATTTTACGATATCACGCAATAAAGAGTAAATTAGCTTGCCGTTTTAAAACTGAAATACATAATTATTCTTTCGACACAAGAAAGAAAATATGAAACGAAAACGTTCAACAAAAATTTTGCCAAGAAAATTCAAACCTGCCGTTCCCGGAAACGTGAAGCTTGAACTCCCTATTATAAAGCATACCCAAGTACACAACATTCCGCGTTTGTTATAAACCAAAAGTAATTTTGACTCCTTGTATATTAAGGACGCTCAGTGGGCTATTAATTTTAAAACGTCTGCCGATATAAAATTGGTGAATCATTTGGACCTATTCCCTAATGAACAAAATTTTGATCTAGACAAGTCTAGACAAACATTTCACCACAACTTGAAAGAGCATCACAAAATTAGTAATATTCCGAAGTTTCGTTGCGAAATGTTGTAAAATGCGGATAATATAGCACTGCGAAGTTTGCCGTTTTTCAGTCATTTTGTATTAAGGCGGTTTTCCACGAGGCGAAATTTTTCGACCGAATCGAAATTTCTCTTTGTTTCATGAGCTCTCGAGCAGAACTAATTGTAAAAAGACAAAGAGAAATTTCGTTTCGGTCGAAAAATTCCGCCTCGTGGAATCAGGCCTTTAAGGCCGTTTTCCACGAGGCGAAATTTTTCGACCGAAACGAAATTTCTCTTTGTCTTTTTACAATTAGTTCTGCTTGACAGCTCATGAAACAAAGAGAAATTTCGATTCGGTCGAAAAATTTCGCCTAGCGGAAAACCGCCTTTACAAGCACTCAGATGGAACTAAACAGAAATCTTTTGAATTTGAACTTAACAATAGAAATTTCGGTTCGATCGAAAAATTTCCCCTTGTGTTGTGGTAAACCGCCTTTACGCACGGGAAATTGATACCGCTTTCTGAAAAAAGGTATCAATTTCCCGTGCTTACCTTAATACAAAATGACTGAAAAACGGCAAACTTCGCAAGGTTATAACCTTGCGAAGTTTGCCGTTTTTCAGTCATGTAATTTTACAACATTTCGCCACGAAACTTCGGTATGTTACTAATTTTGTGATGCTCTTTCAAGCCGTGATAATTTTTTTGTCTAGACTTGTCTAGATCAAAATTTTGTTCATAGGGAATAGGTCTATACCTCTATATCGAACACTTTTAACAGCAGATCTAAATATAAATGCCTTGTATATCACCAGAAAGAAAAAAATATCACCAGAAAGAAATATCACCAGAAAGAAATCTTGATATCACCAGAAAGAAATAAAGCTATCGTTTCCTGAATTATTCGAAATATTGTCGATTTGTGAAAATCCAACATACCACTGAAATCCTGAAAAGAATCATGCGAGCGCAATACAAAATAAATTTTGACCGCCCCCCTCGTTTAAAAAAACTTCCTGAAGCCTTAATTATTTCCCCGGAATTACGACACTTTTAGGCATGTTCATATAGCGGCGAGCTACAATCAGTGACAAAAGGTTTTTGGACAGTTATATAATATATGCATATCTGCGCCATTCCAAATACTGTTCAGCATAAAACCACTATCCCTCCCTCCCCCACCCTAAACAATGTTGGGTGGCTGGCAAGGAACATTTTGCGCCGGTATTTCCACACACAACATTGAACGGGGGTGCGGGGGGTCGATTATGTTGTAAATGTGCGCTCTTTTGCTATTTTGTCCAAAGTGTTTTGTCACTGATTGTACCTTTCTAAGATATATCTCTTCTCCGAAGTAAGGGAGTTATAAATACTAGAGCGTGGCATCATACTGGATTGTTTTGTACTTTTGTTAGAAAATCGTTTTACTAGCTAGAACTTCATTCTTGATCATTCTGATTTCTGAGAATATCCAAATAGTACATATTGGGCCATTCCATTTATTAACCGCACCCCCCCCTATTGAGGGTTTACAAAAAATACCCCCTGGATATTGCTTTAGTAATAGGGTATGTGGATTTCTCATTTTAACATTTCCCGTGGATTTTCTAAACCTTTGTTAACCTATTGAGGGTTAAACATAATTTCTCCCCCTGGATTTTTGGATTTTGTTAAATTTGTTCAATGGATATTTTGCATATGTTCTTTGAAATAGAATTAATACACAAATAAATTCACTGATAAATTTACTGCCATGAATAAATAAATTTACTACCATGGATTTATTTTGTTTAAATTTTTTCCATTTGGATTTTTATTTGGATTTTTTATATTTACCCATGGATATATTTTGAAAAATTTCTTTCTCCTAATGGATTTTTGTTCTTTGGACCCCCTGGAT